TGAAAATACTCTTCACTTAACGAAGGAGAATATCCAATCTTAGTCAACTGATGAATTACTAATACGCCCCGTTGACTAGTTACTAGTTTATCCTACGGGACACAACAAAACTGATTTTTGACATTATTTTAAAGGACTGATACTTCTTGTTTACTCCCTTCGTTGTAAAATTGGACTTTATGGAAAGTAACAAGCCGTCGTTGTGCACTTAAAATGCCTTAATTGCGAATTTTCCAGAAATGTGTGTTCTGAGCTATTTCATGATTTATTAGAACTTTTAGGAAAATCTCTAAAAGCATATTTCTACGTATAAAATTAAGGCTTAGACAAAAATTTCAGTTCGCTACCAGGATTTGGAAAAATTTTATTTTTTTTTTTAATCGCAAAAATTTTACAAAATTTTGACTTGACATCTGATAAATTTTGAAATATTAGCGAAACTTATTTAGTTAAATTCATAAACTCGAGTTATAGCTGGTAAAAGCAAAAATTTTTTAGAATTTTTACGATTTCAATAAAAAAAAAATTTGAAATTTTCGTGGATGTGTTTATTTCGTACATGGAATAAAAGAAAGGTGTGCCCCTGATGTTGAGATTTTTATGAACCACCCTAATATATGTCCATTAGACCGTACCACAAAACAAAGCTCGCCATACATCTTAGAATCGTAAGTTTTTTGCAAGGCAATTGCAAACGGCTAGAAAGCAGCCTGGATAAGCGCTTAAAATCAAAAAAGAGCAAAAAAAAAACGGTAATGCAACTAACTCATATATTCAGCTCCATCTACATAAGTATGCCCAGTACTCAAGCCGAAAACTTTGCTTTAAATCTTCTAACTGTGATGTGTCTAAAAATCATTTTGTGCATATGCAATTGACTTGAATCATTCATTGATGGGTTATCAAAAAGTCAAAACCAATTTTTGTATACTCTCTTTCTTCTTCTTTGTGAATTTAAACACGTACCACAGCTCAATCAATGTTCGATCTTTGCAGGTTGAGTGCATTCCCAACGAAATCAAATAAATAAAAAATGCAATGCGAAAATTTTGTTAAACTGAAGGAACACAATTCAGAATAAAAAGGCAAGTGCGGCAAAAATGAATTGACGAAGCAAGCTTACAGAAAATCGCATTTGCGCATATACAGTGGACATACGCATGTACATAAGTACACACAAATAATAGACTTATTTAATAGTCAAGTCACACGTTTCATTGATTCCATAGTAAAAGTGATAACAACTAAGTAAATATTTGGCACTTTGACAAGTGCGATTGACAATTGTATAGCAACAGCTAGAATTTATTATGTGGTTGAGTGAATATGCTAAAAAAAAAATCAGTAACTGAATAGTAGGGCAAAATATTGCATATCAACTCCCCGTAGCGCCTTGAAAAGAGATAGACAGAAATGTACCTCCGAAAGGTATAGCTAAATTTCTACCTCCATCTAGGGAATACTTTTATTGTCTCCCGTAAAATATGATACGGCGAATCCGCTGTCCGTTAGAGTTTCCCTAAGAACATGAAAGCCGTCGAAGCTGAGATATTCACTGCTCATTAAATTCGCGGAATATGACCGCGCGATTGTAGGAGATCGCGTGCCAGTTTCTATTACGTGAAGTTCATAGTTGGAAAAGATTGCGCCTGGGCAACACATTTCGGAGGTGAAACCTCGTTCGATTCATTTCCAATTCTTCTCATACTTCAGACAATTTCTATTATTCTTAATATTAGCTTGCTTAAGTTCTATTATAAGTATACGTATTCGTCGTAGTTTTATTCTTGTCGGAGCTAACAAAAAACAACGTCTGCATAAAACAGCACTCAGTATTGTTTCGTCTTACTATACGACATCGTAATCGCCTTCGTATTTGATTTCGTATTCGTGCCCTCTTCATCATAGTCTTCTTCTTAGCTTTAGCCTTAGTCCTTATATTCGTCTTCGCATTCGCGCTCCGCCTTCTTATTTTTCATCCTCTTCATGTTCGTATTCTTCGTCGTACTTCGTATTCATCATCTTATTCGCCTTTGCCTTCGTCCGCTTAATCTTCGTTTTCGTTTTCGTCTTCGTGATCGTTATCGTTATCGCCTTCATGACTTCGTATTCATCGTCGTCTTAGTGTTATTCGTAATCGTGGTACTTTTGCACTTGTCTTATAATTGATTTCCACCAAGCCTTAACTGCAGTTTATGACGTATGAAAAACGAAGGCGATGATTCCACCTATTAGGAGGAAGCAAACGAAAGGAAAAAAGCAGTACTTAAGAAAAAAAAAACCTTTCCGATCAACCCATGTTGGAATTACTTGAACTTTTCTGAGCTCTTAACTGCAGTTAAGCCTTTGGTGGAAATAGGCTATTAGCCTTAGTCTAAGTTCTAACCTTAAATTGCTGCATGTTACATTCCTTTAGTTCCTCTCAATATTAATGTAGGTGGAAATCCAAAAAAAAAAACTAAGTCCAGATATAACTCTCTCATCGTCGGCCATCGAAGCTGCCGTCAGAAAGTGGGTGATCGATGAAAGGCTTCGATGGCCTGCAGCATGCAGAAAAGTAAAACTCATGTTGCTCTCAGCCTTAGAAGGTTTAGCTAAATAGGTGTGTGCTGTCATTGAGCAGATGGGATTGCAGACAACTTGTGCTATTGCTGACTGGCCATTTGTCGTGACACAAAAACTTGACTGTGGTCGGTATACATGGTAACCCCAATTAAACTTCCTGCCTTGTAGAGGATGAGACGTTGGAGAATTTTTTATGCTTCTGCCTCGCCTTTTCAAGACGTTTAGGTGTAAAGATTTTAGCAGCGATGTACTGAGATGCTGCTAATATGCTGTGATTTATTCGTAAACCATGTACATTTAAAATAAATTGATTTCTGGATTAGTTTTATTTAGCCTACCTGCTAAGTTAATGTCAATGAATTAATCCAATTAAGATGGAATGATGATTTTTCTTAACAAGTCCTCAGATTGTTTGTGTTCATATATCACTTCCACAGCAGAAGTTCAACTTCAGTTCAGTGTTGTCGCATTCAAAATATTTTTCTACCAAAATGGTCACACAAAATCTACCAGAGTTCTACCAAAAGTTTCATAAATGGTGGCAAAAGCAAGATTGACAATCAGCCCAATTCTAAATCATCCCGCTTTCTCTCAGCGGATTTAGATTCTCGCGAACTATTCGGGAAAATTATTTCTGCCTGAAATTATTATAAATCAGATTTTGAACTTAGAAACGCATTTTTCCGACTTACATATTTAGGCATTGGGCTATAACGCACCCGGTTTGACTAGAAGCGAGAGCTCGTTTTTTGATGAAGCGCTGCTCCTGGCCAAAATTGATACCAACTGCTACCTTGAAAAGTAATGTGGACCAATTTAAAAACCGACCAGAACTGATTAACAGAAAAGGGGTGTACTTAGGTTCATTGACCACGTTTTTTCAAACCGGTTTCAATCGGTTTTTAACCGACATCCAAAAAAAGAGGAGGTTATCAGTTCGTCGGAATATATATATATTTTTTTATATGTATATTACCGCATAACTTTGGACCACGTCAACTGATTTCGATAATTCTTTTTGCAAAGTAGTGTCTCAGAGGTGGTCCCATACTAATTTGGTTTAGATCCGATCATTGGATAATGAAATATATATATGTATATATATTTTTTTTCAGGTCGGTTTTTTTTTGCTAAGAATTACTTGTTTTTTAAATATTTTTATGTGGTTTTTGGAAATCCTGATTTTTTGAATATCGAGTAAAACGAATTTTTACAATCGAATAATCCGGGTTTTCACCTGGTTTATTTATATATCAGAATATTAAAATTCTAAATATTTGTGTTATTGAGAATAGTACGGCAAAGAACATTTTCATGAATTTTATATCTGAATATTGGAAATTTTCCCACTTCAGAAAATTAAAAATTAAAAAAATTAAAAATTTTGTAAAATATTCTACAAAATTTGGTCGAATTCTACCAAAACGGCAACACTGCTTCGGTTCATTGCTTCGCACGTGGTATGGCAACCGAATTTAATTGCTACGTGCTACGTCCTACGTCTTCTTCTCACCATACACCACAAGTGATAAAATTCTTTGTAAGCAAATAGAATATTGGACTTTGGCGCCACTGGCGACAGAACTTAATTGTGCGCATCCGATTTTCGTTGTCTGTCAGCCTTTTTGTGGCTTTCAAGTGATTTTATTAAAATTTATTTCATTTTCAATGTAGTGGAATGCATGCGCCCAGGCACTTGGATCACTTGAGGCGCCGCAATTTATTTAGTTCAAAGAATTTCATTGACTAAATGTAGGAAAAATGCGAAATATAAATTAAAACTTCTACCGTTAAATTCTACAATATAAACCATATAAATCAAAGTTTCACACTTCAAATAAAGTTCGTAAAAATTCCAAAAATGCTCATAAAAATTTTCAACATTTTATTCAGAAATTCTAGAAAATTTTCGAGTATGGCGTTTTGTAGCCCATTCAAGTTTAATCTAATGAGGTGCAAGTTTCAATCGGCTAAAAATATCGTTGATTTTTGAGAATTTTTTTTTTTGAGACTGCTTTTGCGGTGTTTTTATATAAAAAGTGCAATTTACAAAATCTGGTGTTGAATTTTTGAAACTTGCACTTCATTAGACAAAAGAAAATTGAATGCGCTACAAAACTGCATAGTCGCAAATTCTGAATAAAAAGTTGAAAATTTTAGCGAATTTTTTTTTTTTAATTTTTGCGAATTTTATATAAGGTGTCAAACATTCATTTATATGGTTTATGTGTAGAATTAACTATATTTTCATAAATATGTAATGAATGCAAAAAAATTGTTCATGAAAATAATTGTGAATATTTTATAAGAACAAGATGTACACTTTCATTTGTCACCTAGTGTATATTACCTTTGCTATTTATTCTTTAAATATCTAACATTTGCAACAACAATATTCGAGCATTGTTATTACTAAAATAACGAATTCTTTTCAGCGCCACATCCAACACCTGCCAATAATGCTGACGGCGACGATAACTTCCGGCGTAATTATGCCGTCGAATATGGTGCACCGTTAATTACACCGCTAATGGAATATGTAACGCTGGAAATGAATACAAATTATACAATACGTTGTGAGGCCAATGAACCATTGCTCTGGAAAGTTACGCCTAATACGCCGGCACACGAGGTGAAAACATTTGATACCGGCGATCCGCAACGACCATTTGGCAGTATGCTCTACCTATTGGAGATATCATACCTAAATGTGGGCAGTTATTATTGCATAAAAGAATCGAGCGTTAGCAAAAGTCTCGACGAAATGCTAGATGAAGAGGTGGTCGAATTGGTGAATAACAATAAGGCATCCTCCATTTACGTGTACGTCAACGGTAAGTAGAGAATGTGTACTTTGTTTGGTAATACCAAAAAAAAAATTTAACATTCCGATTTTTTGTATTTTTCCAGATCCTGCGAATTTATTGGCGTTAACGGAATTTCCTATTATAACCGCTTATCAGTATCAAGATACAGTGATACCTTGTAAGCCGACTATGCCGAATATAGAAGTGCTTCTAACCACATCACATGGCGAGGTAAGTTTTCCTAAAACATTTTCAATATTGCTTTAAAGCTCGTTTAACATATAAAGCTTTTCACTTGCTAATTAGTTGAAAGCTTCTTTTTTTACTTAACTAATTATTCTTGGTTTTATTAGTATAAGCACAAACATAGTATGTACTTATACACATATCTTTTTCTCACTTTCATGGTTATGGTTTCTACATAATTTTATTTTTTTTTATTGTTTTTCACTTATTATCTATTATTATTGCCTTTAGGATAATGGTGAGGCAAAGGTTTTATGTTCCTCAAAATCGGTGCCCCAGCTGACAAGTTTTCCACCTGGCAATGTGTATGAGTCGATAGAGTTTGAGCCAAGAATTGGCTTTATCATACGCAATGTAGAAAATATAACCGATTTGGAATGTTTTAGCCGAAATGGAAGCACGAACAGTTCACATGATTTTTTTGTTATCAAAAGACGTATGTTATATTCGAATTTTTAATTCTATGTACATACATATTTTTAGTAGATATATAGGATTTATAGTACATATGTACATATATGCATAAATACTAGTAGATTACAAGTCATATGTACAGATATATCTGAGTGCTCTGAAATATGTATTCATTTACAATATATTTATCCTTCCAGTTGTTTAGTGTTGGTAATGTATCCGTTTTGTATAAATATTCAAACGGTAGTAATCCATAATATGCATTCGATAAATAAAGATTAGTCCATAATATGTAAAAATACTCTGAAAGTAGATATTAAATCGGTATCTACTTAAAAAAAAAAAAAATAGGAGCATCTAGTGAACTCGTATGACGTCAAAATTTGTAGTCAAAAAAAAAAAATACACACAATTGGAAAAACTTTCAAAAACTTTCAAAAACTGCGAAAATTGTGTTTGTATCAAACAAATTCAAACTACTATTTCAATTCTACTCATTAGACAGTTCAAAAATATATTCAAAGTAAACTCTTCCTAAACCTCTTTCGCCCGAGATTGTAATACATATTTCAATTAACTGTTGAATTGAGTTCAATTTGACTTTTAAGCTTATAGTTTAGAAATAAAGTATTTTCAAAATCATTTCGATTGACAACCATCTTTTAATAATTTATTTCGCTTATAAAATAAATTCAATTTAAACGGGTGACAAACCTCGCCAAACAGCATAAAAACATTCATTTTTTTCAAACTATAGATTTCTTAACACTCTTTCGTTTGACATCGATATTTTAATATTCCATATAACTCGTAAATAATTTAATTTAATTCGACTTTTCAACAGGTGGCAACCCTCTCCAAAATATATTAAAACTAAAACCTTCTTCTTAAACCACCTGAAATCCGTAATCCGTTGAAAATCCATAATGTTGATTTTGATGTTTGCTCCAAAAACGGCGCATTAGCTAAAAAAAAATGCATTTCAATGGACACAAATATTAGTACAATTAAAATAAAAAAAATCAGACAATCTTTTGGTCGCATAACCGACTTCCGGTTTCGACTTTTTTTTTTAAATTTGACATACAAGTTTTTACCACAAATTCGGATTCTACGGAAAAACTACACAACTTTTGTCGGAATCTTTTTTCTGGAATGGACTTCCGATTAAAACAATGGACTTCCGATCAGTTTAACCCGCTTCCGGTCGAAACCCGAAGTCGATAATCCGACCAAACCAGGCTTATTATAAAGAACGATCTTTTTCCTATACTATGGGTATTTTTATTTATTTTACATAACGTTCTGATGCGAAATGCATAAATATAAGAATTTATATGGGATGGAAATTTCTCTAATTCACATACCTTTTGCATATAAATAAACAGATTTCTAGGAACATTAATGACAACTGACGTAGATCATGACCCTCTTTCAGATATACATATATATGTATGTACATGTAATTTATATTTAGGGGATATGTAGGGCAAAAACTCAGCCGATTTTAGATTAAGTGTTCCAGGTTTTAAAAGCCGAATAGCTCAAGCAAAGGTAAAAACAAAATTTGGTTTTAGGGCTCTTTCGGAATACCTTGCCCTAAAAATGCTTTCATTATTAAATCCTTTATACACGAATAAGTCAGGGTAACAACTTTGAAAAAAACGAAGGTGGAGTGCATACATAATTGTAAAGGTAACCTCATACACATTAAAAACAAAAATCCATAAATTAATAACTATGTACTATTTAAGTATGTATACTATTTTGAAAGTAAAATGTAGTTAAATAAATATTTAAACATATTCCTTTCCATAAAATCTGACTCTGAATATTTTTGTAAATACATGTATATGTACATATTTATTATAAAGTAACTTGTAAGGAGTAAATTTTGAATACAGCCAGTACATGTAACTCGTACATTCATTTATTTTATTCTCCCAAAAATCACCAGTAGATATTTATTATTTATTTAATTTAAGAAACGCACAATTTGTATATTACATAAATTTTTAGAGAAAATGCTCACCCCTAAACCATGTTTAAATAGCCAACGAAATTTTGTAAATTTAGTTTTAAATTCATTCAGGTCGAATGAAAGCATTAGTCTCTTTTTTTTAACTAAATTATAAATTGACAAATTGTGGTTAATTGTCAATTAAATAACTATAATTTCTTAATTGCTCAATTTAGCTGGCTATCTGAACAAAGCACATGACTAAATTTGATCGATAAGCTACTTACGAATAACAATTTGATTATGTTCAAATTAAAACAAATATACATATATCTAAAACATCAACTTAGGCAGGGAAATTTTAAGGTGGCCTCTAACATTAGAAGGCAATTTATATTTCTCGCTTCACTTTTAACTTAATTACCAATTTCGTGGTGGTATTTTTATATGCATTTACACAAGCATACTACACACTGTCACCACTACTACGCTCTTCACACGCTTACCGCTAGCTCTTCATAATAATTTTTAAGTATTTTTTTTTTTAGACTTTTTCAAATTCAACACAAAAAAAAAAAAAACATTCATTCATTGCTTATTTAGACATTTTCCAGTGAGAGTACCGGCCGTTATGATCCACAACGCGGTTTCGTCGTCGAAATACGCGGCATTACCGATAGCGGCAGCTATATGTGCCGCCCGAAAGTGCCGTCTCTAGATAATGAAGAGGAGGAACAAACTTTTGAGATCCATTTTGTTGGTAACGAACCTGTTAATCGTGAGTTTTGCACCCCACATTTGTGATTGTTTTCTGTGTCTCTTGTACCTATCTAAATACTTTTATGTACCTTATCTCTTTCTTATGTAATACTGTTACTTTTATTTCTAAAAAAAAAAGGAAATGTTATTGAATTTAGAGTTAGAATAGCTTAAATTTTCATGCAATGTTTGAAAAATTTTACTAAAATTGGCAGATGGGACGAAGGATTAATTTTTTTTTTTAATTTTATTGTGGTTAAAGGTGATTGAGATATTATTTTAATTTTTAAATTGATTTTTAATTTTTTTATATTTATAGAGATATTGAATATAACTTTTTCTAGATAAACTATAGTATATTTATGACTTAAATACAATTTTAAACTTCAGATTCGTTCGTAGTTGAAATATTATTAAAAATAAAATGGTGTTGGTATAGATTCATTTAGAGGAATTTCGAAAAATCTATTTTAGTCTTAGACAAAAATCAAGCACATAAAAATTTGCGCACATCTTTAAATACTTAATTTTTTTTTCTTCTCTCCCGGAAACACCATTTTTACCTTTCTCTCATTTCGATGGTTTTTGCATATACTAATCAAAAAAACAAAAAAAAAAAACAACTTTAAAAATTAAAAAAAAAAAAACAAATTCACCCATAAAACCAACACCGATACGAATGTATATAAAATCTCAACAATCTGAAGCATCGGATATACCATCGGTGGAGGCTACTACTCTAGCTAGCACAATAAACGCGTCAAAACTCAATTCCATTCGAACCATAATCCCAAAAACTAAGAGCATTCCCCCACCAAGACCCAGCCGAAGCACGAAAACAGCAACAAGTACAGTAACTAACAAAATTGTGCCTGTTACTAATCGCATTTTTGATGTTGTTAATCTAAGAGCAACGCATAATTTTCATAAACTCTCAAATCACTTAGTTGTAGCATCGGATGTGGATGTGGATGTGGATGAAAATGTGGATATTAATGTTGGTGTTGGTATTGGTATTGCTGTTGATCGTCTCCCTAATCCCGGTGATGGCAATATTGTGGATGATAATAGCGTTAATATACTAGCTGATGATGTTGTTGGTGTTACTAATAATAATGGTGAAGGTTATGGCAGGACGCACGTGACCACTACCACTGACGACTATCGCAAAACATATAAATTAGCTACAGACCCTTACGCTGACGCTGAAAAAGTTAGTTTTGAAAATAGCACGACTTCCACGACGACTGTTTCACCGTTCGTCACATACGTGCGCGCAACGAAACGCTCATTTTTGCGACGCGCTGCCCCAACTACAAGATGGCATAGTTCACGCTTTCGTGGTACACAGCGTTGTAAGTTTAAAAGTTTATGGCGAAATTTGCACTTTATTTTCAAAGCTTCTAATGTCCAAATAGAATTTTCAAATCCTCCTAATTCCATTGTCGTTAGACGCACACTTTTTTGTTATTCCATTTTATAAGCGCATGCGCTCTAATAAGTTTTGTAATTTTTTTCTCATTTGATTTCAATCTGAGTTTTGCTATAATTTTTGCCATAATACTCGTAGTTTTCAATGTTTTCATAAATGCCATTTAAAATACCATTTAATACGCGAAACATTATTCATTCGAAAACTTTGGTTCGACAAGGATCATCTGGAATATTTCGACGCAGGTGCCAGAGAAGTGTTGTTAATGAAAGCTTAAGTTAGAAATCTTCACAAGCGTTAAGCGATCTATTCACATCTATCCATATTATCTTGGCACTCCATACGTCGTGCTATGGAACTATAAAGATGCTAGGGGAAGTTCAATTCACCTCCCCACCTTTGCAAGTCAAATCGGATAAAGCAATAAAAAATATAATCTTGGTCCGCCTTCTAAAGTAGGAGAGGCTAATACTCTTTTCCGTCTACCTCGCAGTTTGATGCAAGATAAGGCATCACCTTTTAAATAACGGACCTCGGTGAACGGCTATCTATCCTCTACACACAAATATGTAACAAAACAGCGTCCAAGCTAGGTAATGTCTTAAGAAGCCGAAGCATATGATAATTCTTCAGATTTTTCGTTTTATGGCACTCCAAACTGCACTCGGTTAGGTGACTGGAACTTTAACTGCAGATTGTTCATACGATATTGTTTGGAAAGCGCTGGCTGCGCAAAACCAAATTCCACAGGCAGCTAATATCCCATCCAGACAGTTCCTAGGGAGAGTTAATGAAATATCCGCTGTGATGTTTAAAGCTTAGTTTAGCGAAAGTAGAGCAGAAACGTCATCATCCATTTGAGACGGTGTTTTTTTGTACCTCATGGCTTTCTAATGGTCTCGTTTGGGAAAAATGTCGAAAACGAGAGTTGGCACTTGTCCTACTGCCGAAGCTCCTTCGACCGCCCACGGCCGACCACCGGTCAGAAGAGCTTTGCAACTTTGCTTGTCGGTATTCTCGCCTAGCGCTCACTGAGCCCAGTACGAGTATAACCTAGGTTAATTCTGTGCCCTGGGTTTCACGTTATTAATAACTTGTTTTATATCGTGGAAGGCGCCAGCTATGAAATTCTTGTTATTAAAAGACTTCTTATGCCTTTGACGGGGGGGTGAAATAACACAAACGGCAATAACGCAAATTTGTGTTATTTCCTAATTGAATGTGAAATAACACAAATTTGCTTTATTTCATTTCTCGTTGAGCAATAAGACCAACTTTTATACTTAACAATTTGAGTAATAAAGCAAAATAGTGCACATACATATGTAAGTAGTCACCCAGTTACATTTGACAAAAAGTAGTACATGAACAAGTTAAATGGACGGATTTGTAAGTATACAATTTTGAAAGTGTACGGCGCCGCGGCGGTCCGCGTTCGCGCGCAGCCCCGCGCCACCCCGCGCCGCGTTCGACGTCGCGCACGCGTCTCCCGGCCCTCCCCTCCTTTCGCAATTATGTACTGGTGGCATTATAACCGATATGATGATAAAATAACACTAGTTCACTTCTGAAACTGCTTTTTAATGTCCAAGTAATGGGAATTATTGTGCATGGTGTTATAGCATGCATCCCACCCATAGTGGAATTTACCAGGTGCCACTGCTTTATTTGAAAATTTGCCTATAAAATGTGACTATAAGGCAGCCGAATGTCAGAAAATAAAGCGAGAAAGCCGTTTTATTACTTCATCTGTTTATTGCGACATGGTTCCATGCAAACATTTTAAGGTTTTCCAGCAATGTTTTTAACATATTAAAAAGCATGCAGAAAAAATGCATACAAAAGCGCTATGACGCTAAAGACGATGCTTTTCCTATATTTTGTTAGACTTTTCATAAGTAAAAATATTTTGTGAATATTACTTTCTTCATATGAATTATATCACATTTTTTGTTTAATTCAAGGCCTATCAAACAGGTTTAGAGCATTTGAGCAAAAACAACATTTCCCTGTATTTTGTTGTTGCTTCTGGTATCGAAGGTGCCAAAAATTGTTCTGATTTTTTTCTTCTACATCAAAGCGTGCCATGTGCCATAATTTAAATTGAAAAAATGAAAATTGTTGCAACTTTCTTTCTTAGTAAATTGGTTCGCTTCTCGAAGCATTGATCCATCATCCTGTGCCAGGCCCAGTAATCAGCGGTTGTGCTGCTGAGTTGGGCGAGCTTTCCAAAAGCTGCTATTTAATCGCTGGTTTTGTATGGAAAATGTTTCACATGCAAATAGATTTTAACAATTTAGAATTTTTGAGAGCAGAAATGTAAAATATTTGACATTATCGAGAACAAATAATTTGAAAAAAATCAAATCAGCTGCTATACTGATATTACCTGTTCAATGTGCCTTGGTTTAATTGTATTTTTGGAATAAACAAAGTTCTTTTTCCTTCTGTCAGTAAACTGTTTTTTTTTTTTTACAAATAGTATAAATAAGCAATGGGAAATAAGGCAAAATTTATTATATTTCCAACCTTTGTTGGAAATAAAGCAAAACTCAAATTTTGGTATTATTTCCCATTTAAAAGTGAAATAAAGCAAAATTTGCGTTATTGCCGTTTGTGTTATTTCACCCCCCCGCCTTTGACAGCTGTAGGCAATCCAGATTTCACTAATCGACCATTTAGGTAGGCATGCTGGCACTCAATCGCTTTCGAGAAATCCTATCTCTTATATACTGGTAAATTAGTCTCTCATGAAGGGAGGCTGATTGATCTAAAATTCTTCGGAGATGTATGACAACTTTTTTTTTTAAGCTTCGATAAAAATTGCAGCTATCAATGAATTCAATTCCTTTAGCTATTTAGGCTAGGTTGCTATGGCTGCTTGAACCAGTGGAGACACACGTTGACTCTCCTTGTGTTATTCCTAGGAAAGAAGAATAAAAAATGGAAAGGGAATATAACAAAAGAAAATGATAGATGCCCCTACCTAAATCTAAGCCAGTTATGACCAAAGCATTTTCTGCAGAGATGCTTTTCAAAACTTTCTGTAGATTGTCTATGACCGCTCTCAGGGTGAACACTTTATTTGCTCATCTCGGGTGGTCTAAGCGCACTGCTCCTAGGAGATATTATTAAAAAATCTATCAGGTTATTGTGAAAGGTTATGGATTGGGAAATTAGTTTACAGCTTTTTTTCTAATTTTGCTCGCCGATCAATAAGTAATTTACACCCGTCGAGTGCAGTTCTACTATATAAAAGCTTCACATGAGAGGTAAATTGAGATCCTAAAAATTGGTTATGGGTACCACCTTGTCTACTTGCAACGCTTTTGTAGTTTTAAGTGGCTTCTTAAACTTATTATAAATTTTCTATTTGAATTGACTATTTTTTGAGCTTTTTTAAATATTATATATCAACGAACACGCGGTCAAAGCTCTATGTGACCAACACTTGTCTACTTATTACCAATAATTCCGTTGTATGACTCTACGAGTTTATTACAGCTGCTTTAAACTTTTTAAAGTAGACAACTGCATTAAATACAAATGGCCGCCGGAAGCTTTAAAGTAGAAAACCTAAAAAAGCTTAATCCGCTTACTCGGCAGAGCTAGGTAAATAGAATTACGCATAGTTTTTATTATGAAAAAGCTTTTCTTCAAAAAAGCTTTTAAGTTGAAAGCTTATACGCAAGGTAGCTTTTTTTGAACTATTGCTACTTTCTTAAAATGTATTGTAGTATAAAAATAATAGAAACTTTTTAGATCTACACTATAGAATTCTACGTACAAGAGACCTTTGATGAAGACATTACGCACAAATTCTAAATAGAAAGCTTAAGTGGGCTATGGTAATTTTATATACATACGTGCATTTATGTACTTGTATGTTCATTCTCATTCAACTCATTTAAAAATCTATATCACATTTCATTCCATTAATTCAATATATTTTCATATGAAAGCTTTTTCACGTTTTTTTATCAAAAGCTAATTGTCCTAAAAGCTTTTCTAAGAATTGCTATGAGTTTATGTACATACATACACATATTAATTTTTCCCACCCTCTTTGTGGAAGCTACATATCTTCAAAGCTTTCACAAAGCTTTTATTAATTTTTATTTTTGTACATTTTCTGTATAAATTACGTTTTGCATCCTTTTTGTATATGTGTAAATATTGTGTATTTCTCTTTTGTTGCATGCTTTGTATGTATGTATATTTTGTGCTCTATTTATGCATTGTTTTGTATTCATCTTTTATGTATTGTATTCGTATTCCTTATTCTTTTCTGTTCTATGTATGATCCCAAAGTAATGTTGGCTTTTAGTTGTTAACAACCTTTAATCACGTAAAGATTTACTCACATATCAATATTTTTTATGAAATTCAACAAAAACAAAAAAAAACAAACACAAATTGGATTCTTAGCGAGCACGAAATATATCGAGAAACCGGTCATAACCTCCAATTCTCGTGGACATGTCAATGTTGGCGAAAATTTCACATTAAATTGTTATGTGAAAATCGCCTTCGATGTTTCCTACACAACGCAATGGAAAACACCAGCTGGAGTTGAAGAGGTGAGAACCAAAGATAAATATAAATGAATTGTAATAGTTTCCTAATTAAAAAAAAAATTATTGGTTTGTTTACATATTCCGGGTTAATAGGTTAACTGGTTAAAGATTATTATTCTTCAGTTTATTGCTGTTTGTAAGCAAAATAAAAATATAACCACATAGCAAATGGATAACCTGATAATCAGCAAAGTGGGAGCCATCCAAGTGTTATTGGAAAACTTCAGAAAATCTAAGTGACATTTTGTTGATTTCAATGTTCCAGTAATCTTTCTTTCCGAACCTTATTCGACTTTGTTTGTCATTGATGCTTTTCCTATAGTTTTCCCAATCTTCCTTACGTCGCCTGCATTTAGGTCTATACCTTAGGATTTCATCCTAGAAAATCTTTCCCAATCTGTATTCCTAGTATCCTGCTGTGGTCCGAGAAGTTACTAATCCTGCTGGTAGCCGAGTCTACGACCGGAATGCATTATTAGATATTACTAGGTTAATAGAGACGATGAAATTTAAGATAGACTTACTCCTTACACTGGTGTATGAACTTTCCAATGGTAGTTATTTGCATCGCAGCCCATTACCAGTTCCAGTCCTCGTGTCGTATAAGTTGGTGAACTGCTTTCGACGGTCCTTCTCCTCAACGTATAGAAAGTATGCGGACATGCGCCTGCGCCGTATCTATATGCTTGTCCGTAAACTTTATGAAGGCGAGTGAGATGGAAATGATGCAAATTAATTTGCACTACTACAACCTTACTATCTAAAGTGGCTACTTTTTTGATCTGTCCACACTGGGTTTGAATAACTGGCATAACTTCGGAAAGAAGAGAATCAATGGGGAAAGTTTTTGATGTGTAAACATCTTAGCTCTCGGTATGGGCAAAATTTGCGCTAACCCAGCCGATAATCTGTAACTTCGGGAATAGTTTACAACTAGTTTAGGACCATTTTGGGCCTATTTCCTAATATTTACGGAACCTGTTCAGAATCATTTCGGAATTTGTTTGAGACGGGACGTATTTAGGATTATTTCAGGAATATTTCGGGACTTGTTAGGAATCATTGCGAGACCGTTTCGGGAACTGTTCAGAGCTATTTCAGGAATATTTTTGGGGCTAGTTCAGGACTATTTTAGACAATTTCGGAACTAGTTCGTTACTAATTTGGGACTAATAAGGGACCATTTCGGGACCGTTGCAAGATTTGTTTGAGATCATCTCGGGACAAGTTCACGACTTTTTCTACCGTTTCGGGCCTATTCAGGACTAATGCGGGATCATTCCAGAGCTATTTCAGAGGCATTTCGTGACTAGTTTACCACTATTTCGGGTCCATTACGAGACTAGTTGTGGACAACTTGAGCCTAGTTCGGAACTATTTTGGGAATAGTTTTGTAATAGTTCACAATTATTTCAGGACTTTTTCGAGACTATTCCACTACTACATATTTTATGAACATTTCGGGGCTAGCTCGGGATCATTTTGGAACTAGCAAGTGTCCATTTCGAGACCGTTTCAAGACTTGTTCGAGATCCTTTCGGGACAAACTCACAACTTTACAAAGCAACTATAGGACTACTTCAGGGCAATTTTGGGACTAATTCGGGATCATTTCGGTATAGTTCCGAACTAATCATGAAGCTATTCTGAAGTTATTTGTTTTTTTTTTCTTATTTATGGCTTTATAATAATTATATTCAACAATTGTATTTACCTTGAGGCCGTTATTAATGAAAATTTTTGTGGAAAGCCAACAATAATTTACATTTTGGTAGAAGTTATAGCCGCTATTTCGGAGATCACCACATCTCTCATTGGCTTTGTGCATCAAATTCCATGAGAACTAGGTACTTATGCCCTTTCTAAGAAGAAGAAGACTAATTTTAGAGACCAGCTTTAAGAGCAATTATTTAGCGTGGTCAAGATAATCCTTCGAAGCTTGATTTTTAGCCTCCTCGTGGTATTGATCAAAATATTTCGGATCTAGCTCTATATAAATTCCGATTATTGCAATAATAAATAGTATTATCAAAATCAACGTCCAGATCAAGATCAACCCAAAGCAAAAATAAAGTTGAAAATCTCGATCAGTACTGAATCCAAAGATCAGAGGATCGTTGACTACCCCAATCACTTCACCTCAAACATTTACATATCGATTAAATCTTATTCACAGCATCGCATGGTAAAAACTACGCCCAGATTTATTAATTCAACATCAACTCATCAAGTGGGTCTAGCAATGTTGACGATATTGAACGCACAGAAATCGGACTCTGGTCTTTACGAGTGCATTTGCACCGATCATTCGAACAATGTCGGGCGTAACAATTATCAAATGACTGTACTAAGTGAGTAAACTACTAAATATGTCTTGCCTTCCACATATACATATGTATTTCATTTGATCCCTACATCATCCACATTAGATCGCGATGAGGGCTACATAAATATTAGCGAACCCTCAGGCTACTACAAGATTGTCAGCTCTGCCAATAAAAAGGTACAGATCAACGTCAAATATCGCGGTTATCCATTCCCCACACTTACCTGGTACAAACCTGATAAGACACAAATTCATCCATCGAAAAAGTATATGATCAACACAACAGATACCTCGATCACGTTGCAAATTTTGAATGCACAACTCGAAGACAGTGGCGAGTATGTGATACGCGCCAAAAATGAGTTGCTCGTGAAAGAATTACAATTCAATGTGAGCATCACAGATAAGCCCAAAGTTACAGTGAAAGATGTCTACGTAAAAGCTGGTGAAGAGGCGCATTTGCAGTGCCGGGTATTATCCTATCCAACGGCTATAGTATCCTGGGTGTTTACACCGTGCAGCATATCGCCGCGATGGCCATCGTGTGATAAGCGTTTAGAGCAAAATTTCAATGTGTGTAAATTTTAGTTAAATATTATATTTTGTATGAAATTAAATACAAAATTTTATGTTTGTTTGTTTTCTTTAGTCCACACGCAATGCACAACCAGGCGAGTTGGCTATTGAATACATACACGATTTGTATTTTACGCCTGAAAAACCAGGCATTATCCACTGCTTGGCAGCCAACCCAAAAGGTATGGGCGAGGGCAAAGGTCATGTGCTTATCGGCGATATAAGTGATAATATGACCATAGTGGGCATTGATGAGAATAAGAAGATTGCGCGCGGCGATGAGGTGACGCTCACTTGTGCCGCATTATCTTACTACTTCTCAGACGATCTGGATTGGTATAAGGATGGCGAGCTTGTGGAGGAGAGCAACAGTAAGTTGGCATTGCAAAAAACCACTGTACATAAAACTAAGGCTGGTATTGACAATTGAGAAGCAAACGGTTTGGCGAGCACACCTAAAATTTTCATTTAGAGTATTCGCTTGTACAAGTTACATACTTACAACGCGAACACTTTTGATGCAAATTTTAGGTGTATTCGCCAAACCGTTTGCTCTGCCAAGATTATTCGCTTCGCAATTGATAATACCAGCCAAAATTGGTAAGAGCTTCTTAAACATGTATTCATGTATCCCCTTTTCCCTTGTTTATTTTCACATAGATTTTGTGATTACCAACTCCTCAACCAGCTATTCGTATCAAAGGACGTTGAAAATCAATAATATCCAAGAACGCTCGCAGGGCAGCTATGAGTGTCGTGCACGAAATGCGAACAACTACGATCAGCAGGAAAGCAAATATATCAGTATTTTTGTGTATGGTAAGTCAAATGGAAATAACCTAGAAATATATAAAATGAAGAAAGGTCCCATATACTCGTACCAGTTCTGATAGTTTACAGCGAAGTCAATTTTTTAGCTCTGCTTATAAAAAAATTTCAGGAATTTAATACTGAATTAGATAATTTGAATTTAATTTTTTACAAACAATCTTATGCTTGCACATTAGGGCGGGTCAATTTTTTTTTTTTATTATGCGCGTATAGCATATGAGAACTCTACGTGTAATTCCAAGCAAAGTTTCCTAAGAAACCATGGCTCTAAAATCAATTTGGAGTTTGCTAAATTGCGAAAACAGATAATAAGTAAAAGAAATCCATTTTCGCAATTTGGCAAACTCCAAACTGATTTTAGACCCATGATTTCTTCGCAAATTTGCTTAGAATCCTACAGTGCCATACGCGCATAGTCGAAAAGGTCTCTCATACAAATTGATGCGCCCTATTGCACATCCTTGTATTTTTTTTTTTAACATTATCACATTATTTTTTTATTAAACAAAACGTAATAATTTTAATTAGTATAATGGTTAGAGTTGCGCAGGGCTACAGGGCATAGTATCGAGCCCAGTTTCCGACGAACATCAAAAACAAATGAAAATAAAAAAAATTCTATTAGCGGTCTCCTCTCGAGTGCATTTCGGACATGCAAAAAAGCTTTTCCTAAAATTACGATCACCGTTTGGAGTTGGCCTAAAGCTGTAGGTCCCTCACCTTTTTTTGACAACACCAAGGTAAATTCCACAAATCGGAGGTAAAGCTTCGCCAAACACTAACACAGGTCGTCCCTGACCAATCAAAGCCCAACCTTCCAGTATATTTTGTCACCTGAGCAGAAGATCGACCTACCTCGGCAGACAGTTCTGAAACGTCCTATCTCAGAAAACTTTTCAAGGATGCCCTACTTCAATATTTAATTGAAGAGCACCCTATTTCAGAATTTTTTGGAAAAAACACCCTATCTCAGAATTCCGTTCAAAAATGCCTTTTCTCAGCTGAAAATACGTTGAAAATGTGCTGAGATAGGGCGTTTTTGACTCGGAATCTGAGATGGGGCGTTCTTCAACCAAATTCTGAGATAGGGTGTATACTGTATTCCGTCGGGAGGTGGATGGAATACAAGGTCAATTACCCATTACACTATAGGCCTATAGCAAGGATGAGCACGATAGCGTAAACATGGGATAATATTACATATCTGCAAACTTTCTCGACTCTTTGATGAACTTTAAGAGTTTCTCTTGGGAATAAAAATGTATTTAAGGATTAGCCCTTTGCCAAGTGATTAATAGATAATTACGCTTGATTTACTCGTAGAACCACTGCCTCCCAAAATGATACACACCAATTTGGATGAAAATGCAAAACTGGAGCGCAAACTTGGCGACTTCCTAGAATTGGAATGTACACCGGAGGCCATACCAGCAGCAAATGTGCACTGGTACAAAGACGATATAGAACTCACCAATGGCAGCAATATAGCCATCGAAGAAGATGGCAACAAGCTAGTCATACAATATATAAAACCCGAAGATGAAGGTATCTATAAATGTGTGGCCGTGAATCGTTTGGGCTCTGTCGATGCTAGTTCCGCAGTTAAAATCACAAGTAAGTTATTTTTACTCATCAATTTTAAAACCTTTGCATAAAAAATACTCAATTTCTACACAGACTTACCACGCATGCGCACCGGCTGGATACTTGGCCTACTCTTCTTCTTCGTCATACTCATTGCGCTGGTTATCTACTTGTGTGTGCGTGTTTTGCGCGAACGGAGACGGCTGCGAGATTACAAAGCCGCCGGTTTGGCCAACTTTGAAGAAGGTGCTGTGGAGCATATAAATCCAGCGCTGACATTGGACGAGCAAGCAGATTTATTGCCATATGATCGAGCTTTTGAATTTCCACGCGAAAAGCTTAAATTGGGCAAACAATTGGGCGCTGGCGCCTTTGGTGTGGTTTTGAAGGCGCATGCTGAGGGCATACGACCTGATGAAAAGGAGACTGTGGTGGCTGTGAAGATGGTGAAACGCATAGCGGATAATGAGGTGATGCGCGCTTTGGTCACGGAATTGAAAATTATGGTACATTTGGGACCAAATTTGAATGTTGTGAATTTGTTGGGCGCCGTCACAAAGAATATCGCACAACGTATGTAGCTAAATTGTTTTTTATCTTTTTTTGGTATAGCCGGAATAGTAATAACATAAATCTTGACATTTCATTTCAGGTGAACTGATGGTAATTGTGGAATACTGCCGATATGGTAATGTGCAAAACTTCTTACTGCGCAATCGCAAACGTTTTATAAATCAAATCCATCCGGAGACTGACAAAATCGATCCGACCATTACAAAGCAACGCTTCTCGGATAATTTCGAATTGAATCGGTATGTTAACGCTTTGTACAAATATGTATTAGTTACTGGTATATATCATAGTGTAAATAGTTTTTTTTAATATGGCATGTCGCAGTAATATTTAGCTTTTTTTGTTTACCTTTTGTTTGTTTTAACACTGCATTAAAAATCGCTTATATTTTACTAACCCGATATAAAAAATACTTTTAAAAAAGTACGTTTTAACAATGAGACATACATACAGTTTTATAAAGTAGTGTATGTATACCGCAACCGAGTGGTTAGTTGGCCGCTGTAGTTTATTGGTTAGAGTTGCACACAAGCGATCGATAGAATCCAGGCTCAAATCCCTGAGCTGAGTAACATCGAAAAAATTGTTTTCTTCCTCTACTAGACTAGACTAGACTAGAGGCTCGGCCAACCACTAAGCAAGCAAGTCTTAAATCTTCAGGTTTTTCCTTTTTCAACCTTCCTCAAAATATTTTCAAAGTAAGACCTTCTTAAACCTCTTTCGTCTGACATTGTGAGACATATTTCAGTTGCCCAAGATGACTTTTTAAACAGTTGACAACCCTTCTTCATGTAGTCTACATGAAGCCCTTTGGAGCCATTTCGATTGATACCCATTTTGTAATGCATAATTGATTTTACTTACAAAATAATTTCATATTTCATTGAATTTTTAAATAGTTGGCAACCCTCTTAAAACCTTCAAACACCTTTAAAAAATTCTAAATGTTCAAACTAAAGACTTCCTAAAATTTAGGAAAACTCGACAAAGTTTTATTAAAATGGCGAGCTCTTTAATTATATTTCTCAGAAATATTTAAAGTGCGCACTTTTTGTAGCCAATTCAATTTAATAAAGTGGAAGTTTGAAGTAGTTTGGACTTACCGTTGATTTTTGACAATTTTTCCCCAAATAAAAAAATTTCGAACACGTTTTGTATGGAAAATCTGTTACAATTTTGTTGAATTTTGCCGAATTTTCCCAATTTTTTACAAAGCGTGAAATTCGGACTTACGTACATGGTTTTTTTAGATAACGATCCATACTTTCATAAAAACAAGTAATTTTCAAGCAAAAACAAACGAGAGTACTGTTAATTTCTTCATCATCCAATGATCGGATCTAAACCAAATTAGTATGGGACTACCTCTGAGGTACCAACTTTCCTTTAAAAAAATTATAGAAATCGGTTAACGTGCTCCAAATTTATGCGGTAACATAGCATATAAAAAAATAAAAATATATTTCGTTGAATTAATAACACTGGATTACAAATTTTAGTTTGGCTTTTGTTCTCCAGACGCCACTATCCACTTTCTATGTAGAATTGCTCGGTGATTCCGAAAATCGAGCTAATTTTTTTTCTATTGATACGTTTTCGAGATATTTTGAATTTACCGTTATTCAGCTCAAAACAAAAAGTGTTTGCCCTTATTCACGTATATCTTACGAACCAATTTAACAATCTTAAAAGCAGATACGTCAAATCAAAGCTGATAAAATTCTTCATAAACCATATATACATCTCTGCAAAAATTTTGATTTGCTCACACAAGCTCTTGGCTCAATCCTTATCCATTCATCCTGTAATATACCAGCCAGAAATGCGATTGCTTTATAAACAAGAAAACCATTTTGAAATATGAGTATTTTTACTCTCTAGAAAATAATTTATGCAACCTCACATACGCGGTTTTGCAATTTGTTTGATACGCGACGATATAATTATATTATTTGCAATCATTATTTAACATTTTTTAATATTTGAACTAAAAAATTGTCGAAAAACTCCATATCATTTAATGATTGATTATATATTAGGACTGAGATTTTTTTTTGCTGTCCGGATAGTCCGGTTATCCGAATAGTGTAGAGATATCCGGATATTCGGATCCAAAAATTAACAATAAAATAAAAGAATTTGCATTTCAATATTTACTTTGCAACCCGATAGATTAAGTAATTAAAAAAAAATTATACAAATCCCTTCAAATATTCTTTAAAATATCCGAATATCCAGATAACCAAAAGGAACGGATATCCAAATGTACGGATAGTCCCAGCCCTACTATGTATATACATATAAATGCATACAAATGTATGTTTTTTTTAGATATTTATGTTAATGATTGGTAAAAGTTTCTAAAATTTTATTTTCTTAATCTATTTTTCATACCTCAAAAAAAAAATGAAATCTATGTATTACCCTATTAACTATTGAATGGTACCACTTTACATGCTTGCTTACATACTACTTTCCTATCCTAAAACACTTTAACCAACGACATTTGTATATTTGAATGTTTTTAAACAAATTTTTGTGGTGTTGGAAAATGTTTGTCACTACCACCTACTCCTACTATTTGCTATGCATACGATTGGTGCTTGTGTCCCACCCACCTCACATTGGAATATATAACTTTTATGGTGCTCATAACAAACAACAATAACTACACGAATGAACTTGGATGGCTTTATGGCATTTTGTTTTTGCATCAGTGATGGAGTAAAATATGTTAATTTGTCCTTTTCAAATCATCAATATGTAAATCATATGAATAATGTGAACAATAATTATACGGCAAATAATCGCAGAAACTCTGAAAATGATCCACGCTCCGGCACACGCGCTGGACGTCCCAATTCGGCTGGATATTTGCGGCAATCCGATTTATATGAGGGGCATGTGGATAGTGGTGCAACGGAGCAGACAGTGATGACCACAATACCTGAAGGTGAGTGTAGGGGTACAAATTAAACATACATAGATACATATGTACATTAGACCGTACCAGCAAAAAAGTCCAGTGTACACCAGGCAAGGCAATTTCGAATTTTTTTTTTGTAACACCTATGGGTCTCCTTTTTACATTTTCGGCGATACCTACGTTCGACAACTAAAAATTTTTTTAACCTCTTAGGGTCATAAGCCTGTAATTATAATTATAAAAGCACAAGATTTTAATGTAAAATGTAATTCATCGAGATCTAATGAAAAAAAAAAAATTCGTATTAACAACAAAATGGAACATAAAAAATCACTTTTTACAAAAAATTGTCTTAACTTCAGCTAAAAACTATGTCTTTTAATTTTCAACAAATTTTATTGCGCTAGAACCCGTTTTTTATGAACATATTTCTTGGAATAAATGCAAAAAATTATAAGAAATGCTCATTAATCTCATAATTCTTTCTAATTTTTTTTTTATTTTCAATTTGACAATAATTTTTTTTTTTTTTGTAACCAACCCTCTTACTTAGCACCATACGCCATATAATTAAAAAAGCTCAAGATTTGAATGTAAAATGTTATTCATCGAAGGCCAAGTAATTTAATAAAAATTCAACAAAAAAATTATTTTCTACTAAAAATTACCATTAATTTCAACTAAAAACTATGTTAACCATTTTTTGTTTAGCTAGAGGCCGATTTATTATAAACACATTTTTTGGAACGCAAAGAATTATAAGAAATTTGCATTAATCTCATAACTTTTTCCAAAATCTTTTTTCGTTGATTTTAAAGAACTTCTTCCTTGGAAGTGTTTTTTTTTAAATAAATAATTTTGTTTCATAAAAAAATAAATTTTTTTTAATATGTATAAGATATTTTTTTTTCTTAAACAATCTTAAAATAAATTAATTAAATTGATTTATTTCCAAAAACAATACTTATGCATTATCAAAAATAATTTTTTCCGAAACAAAAAAATTTTTTTGCCCAAAAATATTTTTTTCTCCAAAAAATCTTTGATTCTAATGCTTGGTGCTTTGTTTTCTGATTAAGTTAACATATTTTTTCCAAACAAATTTTTTTTCCTAAATTATTTTTCCTTGCAATGATTATCGCAAAAAAATATATTTTAAAACTTTTATTTTCAAAAATACTTTTTGTAACGTTTGGTATACTCTTTCTAATCTGGGTAGACATATATTTTTTCCTTAATAATGGTTTTTCATGAACATAATTTGTTCTCAAAGGAAAATTTCTTAAAAAACTATTAAAATTTTCCGAGCAAAGTTTTTTTTTTATACCTTTTTTCAGAATTTGATTAGATTACTATATTCGTGAAAACTCTTCAAAATATAGATTTTCCTCGAAAAAGATTTTTCTTTATAATATTTATTTCCCTAAAATTTTATTCCTGAACAATTCGAATTTTTTGTTAAATTTTTATTTCCAAAAAGTTTTTCCCCGAAATAAAAAAATTAATTAATATTTTTTCCCCAATCAATATTTGTTTCTAATATTGGTTAAATTTTTTCTCATTAAGGTAAACATATTTTCTTTTTGCCAAAAACTATTTTTCCTCGAAATTATATTTTTTTGTTATTATTTTTTCTCTAAACAAAATTTCTGTTTTCTTCTAAAAGTTCAATTTTTGCAAAAAAAATCTTATTTTGATACATTTTTCTAATTTTGGTAGAAATATATTTCTGTAAAACTTCTTTATAAAAATAACTCATTAAATAAGAGGCCCATTCTAAAAATAAAGAAACTCACACAATTTCTTTGTGAGTGGAATAATTTTATTGGTCCTGAAAGGCTTAAATAGTTCTACCGGAATAATCAAAAAACTTCCTTAGCAAAAGTTTAATGACTTTTGGAGAGACTGTAAATGGCGAAGATATAACGAAAAATTAAAAAAATATTTTTTTGAAATTGCCTTGCAAAAATACTTTAGATTTTTTTTTTTGCCACGGTCTAATGTACATACACACATACCTAGATACACAAGTATATGCTCCAGAAAGTCTCCTTTTGTTTAATTTTTTTCCACCTATAAAATTTTTCCATTACCCTTTCAGACGAAGATCATGTTCTCTCCAATAATTCCGTACAGCCTGCATGGCGTTCCAACTACAAGCCCGATAGCACAGAAGCCATGACTGTTACCACAACCGATTTGGTTAGTTGGGCCTTTCAAGTGGCGCGCGGCATGGACTATTTATCGTCACGTAAAGTATTGCACGGCGATTTGGCTGCACGTAATATTTTACTCTGCGAGAATAATGTGGTGAAAATATGCGATTTTGGCTTAGCACGCTCCATGTATAAAAGCGAAAACTATAAGAAGCAAGGTGAAGCGCCCTTGCCCATCAAATGGCTAGCTTTGGAATCGCTTAGTGATCATGTGTTTAGCACCTACACTGATGTTTGGTCATTTGGCATTGTTTTGTGGGAGTTCTTCTCGTTGGCGAAGGTCCCCTACCCCGGTATGGATCCAAATCAGAGTTTGTA